TCCAGCCCAAATTCAGCCTCCTCCCAATGTCTGCTCTTAACCCCAACGGTAGTCAGATTTTTTCCTCATTTACACAGCAGTACCACTTAGCTGACCAGAGCACCTATGTGTTCTGCCACAGATAAAGTTTCACATTTATATCAAAGCAAAAGTTCCCCGAGAATAGAAATTCTTAATCATCTTTGCCTTCCCTAAAATGACGAACACAGTACCTTACACACACACCCCCCCCAATTAAACCCCAATTAGACATCCTATTAAACTAAGAAAATGATCAAATAGACTGAACTCAATGGATGTTTTAATTTCCTTTCCATCATTTCAAACATACTCTCATGTATGTTACTTCCTATTCTCTCCAGAACATCCCAGATAAATCCTAATACTTCTGTCACTTCCCAGTATTGCAAAACCTAGTCAAGTCCAATATAAGCCTTCAATTTCATCTTAAAAATACACAGCAGGGCCTCCCTGGTGGCGCAAGGGGTTAAGACGCAACCTATGAAGCTGACCAGACTCTGCAGCACAGGTTTGATCCCCGGCCAGGGAGCAATCCACATGGCGCAGCAGACCTCTCCTGACTTGCCCGCTGCTCCCCTCAGCAGTGTATTTCAGTCAATCTGCCAGTTCTGTTCCCCACTCTGTCTCTGGTGAATCCTCTCACCCCGCACACCTCTGGCCTGTACCCCCACTCTCGCATGCATAAATAAATCTTTAAAAAAAAAAAAGAATATAGAGTATATACATCCATGTACCTCCTCCTCAACCAGGACTCAGCCAAAAGAAAGAATATAATGTTTGTTTCATTATCCTTTTGGGCTCATTTACACTTCTCTTTCTTACTTTCTGATTCCTCCAGATCAGGATAGGTATAGAAAGGTGGAAATATGTCTTGTATGCCCAATTCCATGCAGATTTACTGGATAATCCTGAAGCAGAATACTTGTTTAATTACTGACAGCACCCTCTGTCATTCTCAAAGGCGCTCAGTTTGGATAGTACATCGCAGGCCTTCATGGCAGGGTGACCTAAGTCACAGCAAGCAAAAAGGCTGGCTGTTCCACCCTGCAAAGTTCCCTCATGTGAGGGACATGTTGTCAGGTTGACCTCTTGTCATCCCACCCACCATCCCCTTACAGGACAAGCAGATCCTCCCCCTTGGCAGGATCCATCAAAATAAGCGTGGTTACCTCCTATGGAGTCAACTTGCTCCACAAAAATGTCATGCCTTCTCACCAGACCAGATGGACAAATGCAACTCTTTCCACGACTGCCCTCTTACTCAACATGCCATCTCACCTGCTCCAATCTCCTCCCCATTGAAACAAGTCTGTATTCTATGCTCAGGAGTATCCCAAATTCTAGTAAGCATGTTACATCTTTCAAGAAGTCTCTAAATGTGCCATTTGTGGTATCAAAAATAAAATAAAACAAGATTCTGCAGCTCATTAAACATCCAGACAAGATGTTAAATACAAATCTACATTTCTGGCAGACATATCCAAATCCTGGGATGAAAACAAAAGGTTCTTTTGAGGAGCTAGGAAATGTCACAGAACTCTCTCCACACTAGATTAACGACTCTTCACCTGAATGACACTGTAATACCCCTTTTCTAATTTCCCTCCTATGTGGGAAGTGGGTGCTGCAGCTCTATTCTCTTTCATTAAGCCCCACATCCCTCTTCAGAATGCAAGGATACTTATTACCCTTTGTTTTCAGCTTTGGAGCTTTAGTTAAAATCCTGAAACAAGTCCTAGTCATCATTCTAATTTCTAAGATGTGATTTCCCTACATAACATCTACTACTTACCTATTAAAAGGAAGCCTTCATTTTTAAGCAACTCTGTGAAATAAAGATTTACCCAAAAAAAAGAAGTGTGGGTAAATGACAAAATACATCAAGAAAAAGGGGAAAAACAGATTCTTCACCTAGTCATGCAAATTTTACTTTAGTATATTATTCATTCATATTTCATAGTATTCATACTATTTCACAGTAATCATTCATATGATTTCAAGCAGGTTTTACACACACATACACACACACACACACACTCTTCATGAAGAGCCCCTACATAAAATAGAGAATGTATAAATTAAAATTCAGATTAAAACATGAAAATCAAATGTTCTATAAAAATCAAGTTGATAATTGTGTATCTTTTCAAGTCAATTTTATACTTCAACTTATTGATTTTTTTAAAATATGTCATAAAGTTATTCCCTAGATGTGTTATCATATGAAGAATACGCCTAAAAAGTTCCCTGGCAATGGAAAAATCAGTTAGTACAAACTGATATCTATACCTAGTACAGTGTGTAGACACAGATTTGAACTAAAAAGGCATGGTGGGAATGGTATAAGCACTTTGGAAAAGTTATACATACACTTGTGAAGTTAAAACATATACCAATCCTATGTCAGAACAATTTCACTCCAAATATTTAACACTGATATTAAAACATGTACCCCCAAAAAAAGATTTACACAAAAATTTTGTTTATAGTAGCTTTATTCACAACAGCCAAAACCCAGGGTGGGGAAGGAAGGGGGAGTCAAATTTCACTAACAGAATAATGGATAAACAAATCGTAGTAGGGTAAACACTACTCAGCAGCAAAACAGAATGAACCACTAATACAGGAACATGGATAAATCTCAAAACCATTATATTGAGAAGGCAGATACTCTAAGAGCCTGTGCACTTAAAATTCAAAAACAAGCTTACCCAATCAATGGAAATAAAAATCAGGACAGTGGTTGCCTACGGAAAGAGGAGGGAAGGACTAAAAGAAAAGAGGCAGGGGCCTCCCCGGTGGCGCAGCGGTTGAGCACTGGGCTGCGAAGCTGCCTGCAGCCTCTGCAGCACCGGTTCCATCCTCAGTGGCCAGCGAGGGTCCCACATGGCGCGCAGACCTCTCCTGCCGCCCGCTGCTCCCCTCAGCAGTTTGCTTCTGTCAGTCTGCCTATTCTGCTCCCTGCTCTGGCTCTGGTGAATTCTCTCACCCTCCCGCGCTTCTGACTGTACCCAGTGCTTGTATAAATAAATAAATAAACCTTAAAAAAAAAAAGAAAAGAGGCATGAGGAAATTTTGGGGAGTGATAAAATATTCTATTTTTTGAATGGAGGTACTTATGTAGGTATATACACACACATCAAAATTTACTTATACATTTATTTTTTGGTACAAAAATTATATCTAATAAAGCTGATTTAAATCACATGATATCTTACTTTTAGATAATGTCAAGGATAACAAACTAATGTGTAATCTCTTGCCAAAAGTTGTTTAACTGAGTAATCAGAAACAGTGTAAATCAGATTCTAAAATACAAATCCAAGTCTAAAGTGTTTAACCACTGTTACAAGGACACAAGGATAATTGCAGGTTATAGAAACATCCATAAGGGCTCACAAAATGTCTTTCTTAGGTCATGACCTAAAGCACATAGGTGGTCACTTTTGATTACCATAAAATATGAATACAATTTCATGTACTTTCTCCCCACTTACCCAATATTTTCTCTGCCCACTAACAATCTTTAAGTAGTTTAATACCCATTTCAGTAACACCTATTTCTAAATCATTTGTCCTGTCTCTCCCCAAGATTTCTCCTTTTTTGAGTACAAATTCTATCTAGGAATATAATGCAACCACTTAACTCATAAATAGTAATTCTTATCAAACTGCCTTATTTATTTACCTATAAGCTGTTTTCCTATATTGTCAATTTTTTTTTAATATTTCCATTCTAATGCTTGAATTTAATACTTTTTACCTGTCTTCATTACCACTCTTCATTTATGGATTCTGTAACATGGCATCACTTACATCTGAAAATACAATATTATAATATCAAAGGCAACCCACTAGGTAGTTGGAGGCGTTCTAGAACCAGCTATTTGCAAATATATCATCTCACTGCTTTCCAAGAAGCACCAATGTCCTTCAACACCAATGTGAATTCATTTGTGTTAAGTCATTAATCTTAAAATCTTCCCATAATATATGCTGGCCTTTCAGATTACTTTTTATTTCTTCAGTTATCAAACACTGGAAAAAAACAGGCCTCTGCACAAAATGAGCCACAAGCTCTATCTCCACTTTTTACACTATAACCTTGGAATTACCATTTAGCCTCTAATTTCCTTATCAGGAAATTGGCATCAATGCACCTGCTTTCAAGGTTGTAGAACTAGAAACAAAATTTCATGCTCAGTACCTCATAAACAAAGGTTTTCAATAAAATAAATAGTACATGATAATAATAAATCATTCTATTACACTGACATCCTTACTTGAGCACTTTTGTCAATCCAAACCTATATAAAGTGTTTGACTATGATCTTATTACCTATCACATTTACAACCTCATTCTCCCATGTCCATTTAACTAATCTCCCAATGTCTAGAATAACATCACCTATATTCACAAAATTATCTCCCATTCACCTTAAGAAAAAGCAGCTTTAATCAGGGATTATGAAGTTAAAGTTGTGAAAAGAATAATGGGGAAAGTATCCAAGTAAACAGTCACTGCTCTACTAAAATGAACATTTACATATGCCTACTATAGCTTACTTCACACTAATCTTTCTTTAAAAGATTTCTTGAAGTCCAAAAAACTTGGGATCACTGTCTTGCTCATGTCCTATAAATATCATGACTAAACAGGTCTATCGAAAACACACTTAGTGGACAAAAAGAGGCAACTGATGAATTCACAAGACCCTCTAAATTCCAATGTTTTGTCATCTCAGAAATCAATTCATGAGAATGCACAACAAAGGCTGGGGAGGATGAAACTAAATTTTCCTTTGACCCCTGATACAAAATTAATTTAAACACCTGGATTTTCTGCCTCTCCTGATTAATCAATGATTCACTCAAGAACCATCCAAAAGATTAACACAGATGCTTTTTTTGCAATTATGTTCTCCAAATCCAATAAACAGCATTATGTTTTCTATAATGAACTACTCTTTCATACTCACTTTCATGAGCTGTCTTCTTTATTTCAGTAAGAACAGGCAAACTAAGAATAACTGTAACTTGTCAAGTCATGTTTACGCCATCTTCCTTCTTTCATACTTTGAAAAGGTAAAAACAAAAAACAATCAACAAAGTATGGTTTACTGTCCCCACCCCGTACATAAAATTTCCAGAAGTCCACAATTCCTGATTTGAATAGTCTACCAATGTTAAATATACATAGTTCTCATTATGAACATCTTACTTCTAAAGTGAAAAGGTGTTTGTTACTTTAAACACATGTACACACAATCACAGTCTTTCCTAAAGTGCCTTATGTTTGAAGGTAGCAGTTTTCCATGTATTAATCACAATAATCCCAAATGCAATCCACAGGGCAATTCAACTATGGCACAATAAACAAATGCCAATATTTTATTTCAAAATCCCCGAGTTCCTCTATCTAAACATCTATAAGAACTTCCCTTTCTTTCCAGATTCAAAAGCGTTTAAAGCATTCAAATGCTACAATACACCTTTCTTTCAGTTATAGGCACTGCTTCAATGAAAAACTAGCTAAAACCATGAAATGAAATCAATTGCACATAAAGCTATCCTATGATTCTGATCTCTAATCTGACTTGTAAATTAGATGTAACTTCTTTTTTCTGCATATCTTTTTCCTGGCAGGATGCTAAGATAGTTGCACTGTGCTCTGACCAAAAACATGCAGGAGTGACAGTGACACACTAACAAACTCAATACTATATGCCGTGAATAAAGATTTCAAGGTAAGTCCTGAGGGAATCTTTTCTGTTTGTAGATGAGCTGTATGAACTATATAAAATGTAATCCATGTTCTATAACTTGGGCTGCCAGAGTTTTTGTTGAATGCTAAAATGAAAAAAATATTGAAGATTCACAGCGGAAAAAGAGGAATTCAACTTTGAGGGAATCCACCCACCTCTTTTCCCAGCACTGCTGTGAAACCCTCTGTAACTGGTATAATACCAAAAGCAATAATTTTAACCAAATAAAATACTGATTTGGTTCAGAGAATACTTTGATGTTCCTATTTTCTTGTGATCTAATAGTTTTAGAAAATACATGGGTTTACTTCCAGTTCACACCTGCTCGCTAAATTACTTTAAGTGCATTTAGTTAACAGGCATGAAGATATTAATTCAACTATTCTAGGCAAACACTGTACAATGTGATTTTCTACTTACTACTGAGTTCAAGAACCTGCACAAAAGAATGTTTTCTAGAAAATTCTGGGTATAGTAGCTTTTTGCAAATAGAAATATATTTTAATACTCTAAGGGAAAACAAAATTTCAAGAATCCCCTAAGCAAAAATTTTCCATGGGAAAATCATCATCCTTAAATTAACCTTTTTAGGTTAGTTCTTTTAAGTAAGCAAATGCTTTTCTTTACTGTATGTCCCCTCAGAGTAACAGAATCCACTACTAAAAGGTAATAACTACGTAAGTTCCATAAATAAGATCTTTAGGGTTTGATTCTTTGATTCCCAAAGCAATTACCATGTGTCTTTACAAAATGATAAAACATTACATAGTCACCCAAGAAAGAATCAAATTTACTTCAAACATTCCCATTCCCACCCTGACCAAAAAAAAAAATAATAATAATAATAATTTTTATTTAGTCAAGAAGTCCTTGGAATCATAGTAGGGCTTGATGCCATATTGGTGTCACACTCTGCCAGTCATCCGCAGAATATGCCAGCCTTCTTTTTCAACTTCTTTGTCTACTAGTGCATCACTGGACCCAGCAGGCAGCTCACACTGACAATTTCAGTAACGGATTTGGGCTCTCTGGGCATAACAGATGAAAATCTTTACGAAGTATCCAGTTTGTCTTATAGCTGAGAGATTTGAACCTGCTGCAGATGTCACATCTAAATTCTTGAACGATTTTTATCATCAGTGTCACCTATAAAACAAGACAGTGTCACCAACAGCATTGTCCTAAGAACATCTATTCCAGTAATGCTAAGCTTTCAGCATCATGACAGTCATTTATTTGCCTAACACAAGGATCAACACGCTAGAGAGAGTACAGGCCAAAGTTGGGCCCACTGCCCATTCTTATGCAGTCATGCTATAAGAATGGATTTCATATTTTTAAATGGCTAAAAAACATTTTTAAAGACATTTTGTGACACATGAAAATCATGAAATTCAAAGCTCAGTGTCCATAAGTAAGTTTTATTAGAATATAGCTATTTATTCATTTAAATATTTTTCTAGGGCCTCCCCGGTGGCGCAGCGGTTGAGCACTGGGTTGTGAAGCTGCCCGCAGCCTCTGTGGCGCCGGTTCGATCCCCGGCTGCTCCCCGGCCACTGGAGGAGGGTCCCACATGGCGCGCAGACCTCTCCTGCCGCCCGCTGCTCCCCTCAGCAGTGACTTCGGTCCTTCTGCCTGCTCTGCTCCCCGCTCTGGCTCTGGTGAATTCTCTCACCCTCCCGCGCTTCTGACTGTACCCAGTGCATGTATAAACAAAACAAACAAACAAATAAATAAATAAATAAAGCATGCCTCTATTAAAAAAAAAAAAAAATTTAAAAAAAAAAAAATAAATATTTTTCTATGGCTACTTTCACCCAACAGTGGCAGAATTAAGTAGGTGCAACAGAGACCATATGACACATAAAGTCTCATTTACTAGCTTATGGCTTTAAAGAAAAGTTGGCCACGCCATAGCATAGAGGATATTTAGTGAGTATGTCATAAATATACAGAGTACCTGTAATATGAAGAACCTGAATAGAAATACTATAATGATCAGGTTGTTCCCCCAACTTACTTTCATCCATTAGTTTAACAAATAAAGGTCTATACTACAGTGCAAGCAGTTACAGTAGCTTTGTTTTCCACTTTGGCTCAGTCTTGTTACAGTCCAAGGAGTCAATATTGCCCTTGGGAAGAAGCAGCTAGAAGTCCAGCTTCAGATCATAATCTAGTTCTCCAATGTTGTTCTTTTCTGTATCCTCAAGTTTTCCTGGTTCTGGATTTCTGCTTTATATCAACCATTCTCCAAAACAGGTTTTCTATACTCAACACTGGTCTTAAAAGTTTATATATTTGACCTTAAACAATGCAGGTTTGAACTGGGTGGATTCATTAAAACACAAATTTTCTTGTAAAAAGACAACATAAACTTACAATATCAATAAATACAGTATAATACCGTAAATGTATTTTCTCTTATGAATTTCTTAACATTTTCTTTTAATCATAAGACTATACTATATAATACACATAACAAGCAAAATATTTGTTAATTGACTATGTTATTGGTAAGGTTTCTCATCAACAGCAGGCTATCTGTAGTTAAGTTTGGGGAGAATCAAAATTCATACGCAGAGCAACTGACACACCTAACCCCAACTTGTTCAAGGGTCAAATGTAGATACTACCAGAGCCCTTGGGGCAGTAGTTTAAATCACAGCATTGTTTGAGCGAAATGTGTCAGTTGATTTACCAGTCCTATTCTTCCTCTAACAGCCACCCTCCTGCAATGTATAACTGTTTGGGGCTCTTATGAAACAGCTTACATATTCCAACCCTCACCTCTTCCTGATCATAATCAACCCTAGAGTACACAGATTTCCTTTCATATTCAAACCTTGGACCTATATATCTATGAATTCAACGTTCCCAAGTGGCCTGTTTTCTTGAGCTCAATTCATACAATTGCACCAAAAAAAAAAAAAAAAAAAACACCTCTTTTATACAGAGGATTGCCCAATTTAGGACTACCTATCTCAAGACAACTTTTATTTTTTAAATATTGCCCCAAAATGGAATATATAGCCCAAAACTGCATGGAAGCATTCCTTCTTCTCCCTCCATCATTACTAGTTAACCCAAAGTTTCTATACCAGCTTCATCTGACAGTAAAATCTACCACTCTCTACCACTTGGGGTGCCTAGGATACCTTGTCTTTTCGAGCATTGCTTCAGGATGTCTCTCTATTTCTGTGAAAGCTTTATCAACCCTCTTTCCATTTTAAGGGGTAAAGATGCCTTTCTTGGCACTGATGGAGTGCAATGGAGAAACATACTTGGCTAGACTTATAGGAGTCAAAACATAATTCCCCAAAGGAAGATGTTAAGAGTATACAACGGAGGTATGCCCATACTATTACTGGCACTATAGAACCCATCTATAATTCATATTGCATTGCTGCAAGTAACTAATTCACAAACACATTCAGAAAAACTGTGGACTAACTCAACTGAGAAAATGCTATAAAATGTCAGGATGACTTTACAACAGACAAATAAGCCTACTGTAAAGATTTCAAGGAAAAATGACAGTTTATTTTCAGCAAAGTGAATTTCACTACAACCCTGAAGCAGCTTGCCATGATGAGCAGCTTCAAAAACTGCATGAATAGCTCACAACCAAAAAAAAAAAAGGTATCAATAATGTATAGACTGACTGGAATGACCATTAACCATATCGCAATTCTAGGTAGCAACCATACAGGTAGCATCAGCCTTAAATAAAAATGAGAATTTATAAGCCATCTGCAAATGTGGGGAATGATATGAAGTCCAGTAAGATGCCCTTACATCTAAGAGAAGAAACTACAGGCAGATAGTCCATATTCCAAAGGATTACTAACAAGAATTTTTACTTATTTGATCAATCTAGCCTCTTCCTTTAAAGAAAAGGTTCTCAAAATTTTAGTATCATGATTTCTTTGTGTTCACAAAAATTGAAAACTACATAGCTAATAGAGAGGATCCTAATGTTGCCACAATTAAAATATAAATTACTAAAAATTGAGAACTCCCAGTTATAATTATCAGTATTCACCATATTAGAAGTTAAACGAGAACATTTTAAGAATTTATTAATTCATTTAAAAAATTTAGTAACATTTAATATAGCAAATGACATTTGTCATTTTGTTAGTTTTGTGAAAAATTACTTTCCTAAATCAAAAAGCATAGTGGCAAAAATGGCAGTTTTACAAATGTCTTTCATGTCTAACAACACAAGTCAGTTGGATTCTCATATCTGCTTCTACATGTATCTGTTGTGTTACACTGTTTTGAAACTATATTACATTGTATATGAAAACAAATAGCCTCACACAGCTAATGAAAAAAAAGGAAGTACATATTAATATCAACAATCTTTCCAAATAATTGTGGTTGTTCTTCTTTGATACTAAACTAAAACTTGACAAGGAGGAGCATTCGGGTTGTAATTTCTAATCTAATTCACACTAACTTCCTGTATTTTGCTAAACGCTTTTTATAAGGATCTTTACCCATAATTTTATAACATTGATCACTTTGAAAATACTGGTACACTGAGTGATATAAATATTCCAAATTTTGGCATATTTAATTAACACCACAGCAAAAACTCACATGACTAATACCACCATCCAGCTCATCAGAAAAATCTTTAAGTATTAGGAAGCTGACAAGAGCACAGCAGGTGATAAAAGTTTTCAAAAATTTTAATTTTCATTTAAAAGTTCAAATTTTATCATTGGCAATAAATACTGTCAATTGTTTTCCCTGAAGTAACAGGCTCACTTGGTTCACTTTCAAGAAAATAACTGCCAAACATCGAAGTCTAAATAACCATTGTCTGTCTGGTAGGTGTTCAAGTAAAAACAATGTTTCATGCAAAATACTGGCAGTTCGGGTGGCAACTCAAAAACATGCATAAGGTTTTCCTTGAGACAAGCAAAGTACTCTGGATATGCAGAAATGCTTTCTGTTTATCTTCTATCTCATCACGCTGAATATTAATACAAAATGTATTCAAAGATCAAGACTTAGTGAAATTTTTACTGTTTCATCAAAGACATTCTTATGCGAAATTGCCTTTCTGTGTGGTTTTTTGTTGTTGTTTTCTTTTATTGTGAATACACGGCAGTGGGAGTTGGTGCCACTGCCATTCAATGTCCACTAAGTGAGCACAGTTTTATCCACCATTTCTTTTGTACCACTAGGGCAAATTGCTGTACACCACAGTTTGGGAGCTAATGTCTTGAAGAAATACTGAATGCTATGAATGATAAGTTATCATCCCCATATCCACAGCAAATATCCCCCAACAGAAAAAATATTTGTATGACTATTTTCATTTTAACTCAAGGTTGATTCAGTTTGTTCTGAAACTGAGTTAATAAAAATATAAATAACAATAGCAGTTAACATTTAGTGAGCACTTACAAATATATGTCATGTGTTCTTAGAATAACTGTTAGTTAGGTAAAGTTAAATGCAACATGCTACAGGAAAGGAAATCTGAGGTGGAGAGGGGGAAATCACTAGTCCAAGATCACAATGATAAATTTAGTTCTTAGGGATTCCGACATACTAAGTATTTTGCATACTTCAACTCTTAAGCCTTTACAACCTCTTCATTAACCTCTTTTACCCAAGCTTATTCTTTACGCTTTTATACCCATTTTACAAATGAAGACTTTGAATGAACAATTATCCTGCCCAATGTTACCCAATTGTTGGGTCATCTATATACAAAAATCCAAGTCTGTTTTATTACAAAGAGTATACTACATATTCCAACTCCCCATACCGCACATCAGAATACCCTTTGTATACAAATAGTTTGAAGATAATAAGAGTCTTAAAGAGCTTAAAGAGTCAACTAGACAAGACCTCTATTGGAAAAGATTTGTAGCATTTTGGTTTATCTGTCTTCAGTGGAACCAAACCTACTTCCTTTTAAAATAGTCTATGATGTAGACAGATGATTCATTAATTCACATTATTAAACACGTATCTGTATATGACAACAAATCTATGATTACTCTTTAAAAAACACTCAATGAACCCAGGTGATATTATCCCCAAATTATAGATTAAGAAACTGAAACCCAGAGAAGTAACTGACTTCCTCCAAAAACATGGGTTTCATAGATGGAACAGAGTCAGAACTGATCCTAAAGTGTAAACTCTTCAGTCACACTGCCTGCATATTTAAGGTCTCAGGCAATGACCTAGGAATTGTTCACAAGGTCTGCATGCAGAATCTACTGGTATCATATCCACTCAGCCCAAGGTAATCAAGATATGAGTCATCTTGTATCTCAAAGATCAAGAGGTGAAAAAGAAGCTGGTGCATGTTGAAAACAAAAAGCCATGTTTTCGGATCCGTTAAATAAAGCATGTATAGTTAATATTGGAGAAAG